CTGTTCATGTAGCAACAGAAAGAAATTATCTTGTCTACGGTAGGCAGGTTAATGTAGTTTACCTGTACCTTTACGTGAGAATGTAGGCCTACCAAGTAGGTTACGGTCAACGAAAATGCATGGATTTTAAGCCCTTCAGAAAAACTTACCTGTGAATAGAGTCCGCCGGTCACCGAAAATGCATGATTTTAAACCTCTTCAAAAAAAAAAAAATCACCTGATATATAAGGCGACCCCCATTTTGCCTAAAGACTGATAATAAAACTCGCACAATACTGGAGCATTTTCGTTATTTGCCTTCATTATTATCATTACGCGGGGTGACAGTGCTCGATGAAATAACTCTGGCAGTAAAACACCTGTTTATAATTTCTCGGCGGTTTGTCCCTCACTCGTTCGTGTTTAGAGTGATTTTTTTTTTTAAATAGATAATTGAAATAGAGGCATATTTATTCCCGTATTTTATCTGTCTTTTTTTTCCCTTTTTTTAATTGAACTGCCTAATACTACTAATAATACTACTACTACTACTACTACTAATAATAATACTAATAATAAAGCAAAAACAAACGAAAAAGCAGCTCTCCCTCTTTTTGAAAATTATTAACTCAGAATAACTAGAAAACGGGTCAATTCCTAAAGACTTCAATTCAAAGAAATTGAAGGAAATTCGGTATTTACTTTTGATCCATTTAACGTACATCGCCCCGACCCCACAAAAAAACAACACTTTTCCCTTCCAATCTTCCAATAAAAACACTTAAAAAAAATAAAAACAAAATTTAAATCATAATTAAAACATCTTTCTTTTGCAAAATATCCGACTAACAACTTTTCTTTACTATCGTTAACTTTCTTCCAATTTTTGGCCGCTAAAAATTGTTTTACGAAACAACCAATCAGTAAAGAAAAAAGTTTTACAGAGTAACCAATGTTTTTACTCTGTCGACTTATTTTTAAAGCAACATTTATAATAAAATTAACATTTATTTTTACAATCCAAGTGAGAGAGAGGAGGCCTGGTGAAGTAATGGATAGCGGCTCGGATGGAGGAATCGGAGATCCGAGTTCAAATTCAAGTCGAATTCATTACATTCACTTACGAGAAAGGTATGAATCTTTTTCTTCTCTCCCACCCCAGCTATGGGTAAATATAGGTTTTGTGGGGTCTTCTCTACTCAACTGACATTTTTCATGACGATAATTGTCAAAATGATTTTTGTAACATCCTGTACATTTCTCCTTAAGAAGACATTAGCTGACAAACTGATATCGCTACATATTATGTTAATAGACTGAAGGCATTACTCTGTGCATAGTTTATCTTGGTGAATTAAAATGGTTTATAGCTAATATCCATTCAGAATGACTGACATGCTGATCAGTTGTATGACCTTAACCAGTTCAGCATTTTCTATTGAAGCTCATGCACTTGGCATCTATTCATGAGTGGAAGTAGTGAAGGAACATGACGGCTATGTTTTGTTTTTAGGTTGAAATATGAGGTAGCCAAGTAACTCGAGATTCACATCGTGATTAGTGGAAACACCCTCAATCGGAGACCGTCTGAATGGTCTAGATTAGCCAACCAGATGGGATTTCTAACGAAAACTCACAAGCTTATGTACTCATTTTATCAAAGCATGTCAGCATATCACGCACGTTTGACTGTAGTGCATCTTCATGATATATCTTCATGGTACTTAGTGTTAAGATGGTTTTATTGGACTTAGTATGTTTGTATGTAATCATCACTTGATGTGTTACTCTCGTTTAATAGTAATAATGGCGTAATCATGGCAATCACGGCGATAACTACAATGAAATATTTGAATGGTAGGATTGTTACTAACGCTGAAAATGAAATCGTTGAACTGAATTCAAAACCTAGCTGAGTCTTTTTGATTTTCTATCACAGCGCCCATATTTTGGCACAATGCTTTGTCACTCGATAATAATAATAATAATGCTGGAAAATGGTTGAGGTAGTAGCAGTGTATGGCTATTGTAGAAAAATCACGTGGTAGAGATAAACACTTAGTTGTGGAGCAAGCTAAGTGAACAATAATCCAACCTTTAGAAAGAGAGCTATTTATGTTGCCATAGAGCATCTCATTGTGCTAAAGTGGGATTGTCCATTGCTTGGGCTGTGATTGGCTGCTGGTACCTGAGTGGAGGTATTTCTATATAAATACCAGCTTGATTCAGCTGTTAGTTTGCAGGGTTTGTATTAAGTTACAACCTGCTTTATTTTTGTCTGCCAGCTGGACGCTAGCTGGGACCTTTACACCGGTAAGTGCTGTTTATTATTGTTATTCTCTAGCTATGTCATAACATGAAATTTAATAATTAAACAAACTAATTTTTCTGTTCTTTCAGTCAGTCAGTTGTGTGCCATGCGACGCAAACACGTGCAAACGAAGATGGACGTCATTTAGAGAAAAGAGACAAAAAGAAACACTTAGACAATCATGTATCTTTCGATACATGATTGAAGAGATTTTTTCCGCACCAGGTTGTCATTTCTTTCTACGGTAGACCAGTTGCTATCCAAGGCTATAGAACCCCGTCTGTTCTTCTATTTACTCTTACAAAGAGCGTTAGCTGAGTGGAGCGAACTAAAAACCCTGGGCTCTTGATTAATTACTTTTTAGACGATAATTGGCAAGACAAAGGCAGGTTCTTTATAAATAGTGGTCCCTAGCAAGACAGAGGTCCGTTAGGCCACAACGCAAAATGAAGCCCCCCCTCACCTCGCTTTATTCTTCCACGATCGACTACAGCCGACTCTAACGAAAAGGTTACAACTGAATAAAATTTACGGACATCTACAATTTCATCTCATCATTTTTTTGGTTTATGGGTTTCTTTTTTCTTGGGTAACGTTCCAGTGAAAGGATTATTTTCCTTATATTAAGCCACAAACCTTTGACCTGAAGAAGCTGCACCCTGCGAACGAACCTGGTGTCTAGTCTGAAACCCAACGCTACAAATGAGATGCGTGTCTGTTCTTTATTATTAGAATTTGCATGTTTTTCTTTAACAAAAATAGATATGCTGTTATTGTCACTGGTGATTAATAGAAGCATATTTACTTTGGAAGATCCTTAGAATTCTTCTCGTTTTCTGGAACTTCAAACTTTTTTGAAATCTGTATTTAATCCAGTCATGCCAACCGAGAAATTCCTAAAATTCACATCTTCATCTTTACAGCGTTAGCTCGGACAATATCTTCGTATTTTTGATTTGCTTCACATTTCTTCCTTTTAACGGTGTAATCAAATGGACAGGATCAAATTTCACAGCTTATTTGTTTTTGACAGATGAGTTGTATTTTTAAGGATATTTGTTTTCTTTTTTGCTTACTCTTCCTATATACAGTTTGGTTGGTTGACTTTGTTTAGCGGCATATCAACCTCTATATAGGTTATTTAATTTCGAATTCTAAATATTTTAAACGCATTTGTATGCCTTCAGTTTCAGATAAAAATGTATGGTTGGTCATTCTGCTATAACTATATATTGTTGGTAATTCTACTATATAAAAATGCATTGCTGCTATTTTTATACTTTCATAGTGTTTTGTTTTTTATTTGAGTATTCCCTATTTACTCATACGTGGAACCCAGGCAGGCGCCATCAGGAAACAACAGCAGTTCAGAGTGGTTCTGTGTTCCTTGAAATCTACAATCTCCCCATCCTTGCTACAGGGCGTAGTTTATCGTCATATCCAGGACTATACACAGTGTCGAACCCAGATCGTTTTCACGTTTCCCAATGAATATCCGTTCTCGCTCAAGCATACCTACTGTTATATTCGTTTGGATTTACGCAGTTTTCATATTTTGTTTTTTTGCTTCATCTTTTTCGTAGATGATATCAGCTCTGTTTCTATATTTTGAATATTATATTCATAAAATAAATTTTTATTTAAAAAGAAATAATCCAAAGACCGAATTATAACAAGTAGTGACTTCTTCAATCTAATTCCAAATCGGAAATTCAGTCTCTTACTACAATTTCCTTTAAAATAAATCAGAAATGAAGAAACGTAATATTACAGCGTGAGCGGGTGTTTATTTTGCCTTGAGCGCTGAGGAGAACCGTTGTCTTTCATCAAAATATTTTCGTGACTGTCAACTGAGAAACACGTCTGAATTGTTTATATCAGCGTAAGAAGTGTCATATATGTTTCCATGCTAATTTATAATTCATCTTCTGAAGACAGACTTCATAAAAAAACACATATTCAATAGTCAACAGAAAGAATTAGGTGATTTTAAATGCAAGAAGAGGCTCACCTCACGGAAGATAATGGTGGAATTATACGAGGTCTAAAGAGCATAAATATGAATCCATTATCTGTTTTACAGAATACACGAATTTCATTTCAGTATATCTTTCTGAATGTCATTTATTTCTACAGACAACATTTATTTCGCCTTTTGAAGAATAAAGCATAAAAGATGACAACGTAGTAATTTAATTCTCTATTTCTGACCATATGCATTCTTATTTTATTGTCACGTGTTCGAAATCGTTTGATACCGGATACACCGTGCCCATCGAGGGAAAGAAATAGTGCATAGTTTGGTAGACACGCCTTTGTTATGCAAAATAATTTCAAAACAAGGGAGATAACTCTACTGGGGATTTTTTTTTAATAATGCCACTGAAGCATGGAAGCTGTCAGACTTTGCCCTATCTAAGTGCTTAGTCCGGACTAAATGCTCAGAGAGAGCAAAGTCTGACAGCTTCTATGATTTTCTTTAACTGTGTTTAGAATAAAATAAGATAGGGTAGCTGAGTCTGTGTCAATGGCGGATGAGGTGCCCTGTCTAGCATTTGCTTTGCTCTGTTCTCTTGCGAGATTACGCGCGTTCGCGCTCCATAAATTATTTTCTGTTCTTTCTCACTTCTACGCAACACTCGGCCGTGAAAACCTGAATAATATATTTGCCTAAATACCACGTTGAAAACAAGAGTCTTACGGCAACATGACGTTGAAACCCTGGTTTTCATTATGATTACTGAAGTTAAGCAACTTAGAGTCTGCTAAGTACCTAGATGGGTGACCGCTTGGGAATACAAGTTGCGATAAGCTTGTATTTGCGGATTGTGTACTGAATAAAGGCTCGGAATTATTAATCGGAGATTCCAATTCCAGTTGGGTTCGTTATATTCATTTACGCGCAAATACCTCTTTCCCCCAGCTATGGGTTAATTAGTAAAATTTGTATCACTAAATCCTTATTATCCCTCACCCCGAAATTCTTACAATCTAAAAATATTGTGTCGTTTAATAATCTGCAGATGATTGATAAGACATAAAAAAATGAATGAATCAATAAAAAACTATGATTTAAAAGTTCTTTCAGTGAGGCCCCGTACCTTGAGCAACTCTTGAACCTCAAATTGGACCGTATGTGGAATTCGTACATTCGATCTATCGCTAAAAATGCGAGAAAAAGTTTCGGTTACCTGTAGCAAACCACTAAGTAGCTGACTCCTCAAACTCTCCTTTACCTTTACAAGAGTCAAATCAGCCCTAAAATGGAGTATTGCTGTCATATTTGCGCAGGAGCTGCCCTGTCCTCACATTCAAATCACGATAGATTCCAAAATCGTCTCCGCGTCCCTCCCGGTGATAAAGTATTTTCCAACCTGCAACCCTTCTTTTCACAGACGAGATGTATCAAGCCTTTCACTACGCTAGAGTTAATTCCATGGAAAAAAAAAACTCAGACGAATAACACTCTTTAGTTCCACCAGTTCTAACCTTCGCGTTCAAGACCCGCCATGCTACGCACATTGTAGCGCATCCACTTCATTCTACACGTATTCCACTAGTGAGAATTAAGTTCCACTCAAAGAGTTTCTCCGCGCGAACAACTGCTCTGTGGAACCGACTATCAAAAGAATGTTTCCCCGATCACAACAACACTAACCTGTTCATATCAAGAACTAACTTTTCTCTTAAACACTTACTCAAACTGTGTTCCTTATTTTCTAACCTTCTACCTTGTGTGGCTACCGATCATTTTACAGGGTGAACCTTACTGTAAATAAAAAGAAGGAAAAGATAATTTTTTAAGTATTTCATTCTTGTAGAAGTCAAATAAATTCTAACATGAGTGCCTCTTTGTGTCTCCTTGTAGAGAGGCAGGCCAGCTAATCTACCTCATTTATAGTAGATTACCTAATACAACAGGAGGGTTAGTCCACTTTAATGGACCTGCCCAACACATTTGCATGAGTGGAGTCTATTCACGCATATATTTTCCCATTAAATGACTCAGCGGAGTATTTCCTTTTTGAGTGACTACAACAGTCTACCTACGTGTTAAACAATTTACAATTAACCAATATTCAATAATCCCAAGTAAGGCGGAAGTGCCACTAATACGCAAAGGGCTTACTTAAAATATCTATATATTTTAAGTAAGGGAAAAGACTGAGTATAATGGGAGTGAAGGAAGGATAAAAAGAAAGAACGGAGGAGGGTAAAATGAAGAACAGAGGAGGGTAAAAACAAAAACGGAGGAGGGTAAAAAGAAGAACAGAGGAGGGTAAAAGCAAGAACGGAGGAGGGTAAAAACAAAAACGGAGGAGGTTAAAAAGAAGAACGGAGGAGGGTAAAAAGAAGAACAGAGGAGTGTAAAAAGAATAACGGAGGAGGGTAAAAAGAATAACGGAGGAGGGTAAAAACAAGAACATAGGAGTGTAAAAAGAATAACGGAGGAGGGTAAAAAGAATAACGGAGGAGGGTAAAACAAGAACGTGGATCAAGGCAACAGAAGATGTCGAATGACATTTAAATTTTTGAAGATTATTTTAATTAGGGAAGCATGTTAGAGGAAGGGAGTTGCAATGTCGGGAAGTGCGAGAGAAAAGCTGTTGGAGTCTGCTACCTTTGACTGTTTCGACAGTAAAAGGGTGGGACCGAATTGCCAACCTAGTAGCACGCTTAAATTCATGCAGTCGGGACACCAATGAAAATAGCGCATCAGAGCAGATGCCGGACAAATCTATGAAATAAATTGAAATATTTATTCGCGGAATTTTAAACAATTGCTTCAACCGTAAGAATATATCTACAGAAAGGCTGCGATTAAAAAAAAAATGTTTGAAATATTGAGGAAAATGAAAATATTTAATCTCAGTTTCACTTAATTTAATTCAACCGAATAAAAAGCAGAATTTATCAACCACAAAAGATTTTTTATACAATATAAAAGATAAGGACGTGAAAAATATGCTGTTTTACGAAATACCTTCTTTTAAAACTACTGCAAGAAAAAGAACAACAGCTGCATATATCGCTGAAAGCCGTTACATTAAAAATAAAGACTGCGATATCATTTTCAACATATGTATGAACTGATGAGAATACGTAATCTAGATGGGTAAGCACTTAGAAACAGGAGATACTGTGAATACCATGATGTGTGTGCGCCAGGATAGATAATATTTAATGACGAGTTAATATATTATCTTCAATCAACAGTGAAATGCCGAAGAGTTGCGTTCAAAAAAGAAACATTTCCAAAACAGATATATATGGAATAATTATGATTGATTTTCATTACGTCCTATCAGAATAAAATAGGAGAAATTCAGAGCGTAAAGATATCTTTGACTATACACTATTGCGATTCAAGTTCGAAGAACATTTGAATAGATTCATCGGCATCGCCCAGCTTTTACAACTAGAGGTTATTTCAAAATAGATATATCGAAATATCTATAGTAACATATGTTCATAATAACAAAGTAAAAAAAAATGATTTAAAATTTAACCTCCCTAAGTTGATTTATCTAGAGTTATTTTAAAAGTAGATAGTTGCAAGTGATTCCCAAATGTGTGTATTAATGTGTTCCTTCAAATGTAGCAAAAAAAAAAAAAAATGACGAACTCTATATTGTTTTTATTTCTGATTTTCCTCAGCCTGCGGAGTATTTCTATTTTTTTCCATGATGCCTGATCTAGTCAGGGAATTCTATTGCCTTAGCTTTTTATAGACAGATTTACCTTCTTTTTTTTTTGCTGCTAATTCTGGATGAGAGAGATTGCAATGCTTATCGTGTGCGCCTCCACTCGAGCAAGCCTATCCTAACATGACATGCCCTTGGGTAAGACTAGGATTCGAAAAAAAAAAAGAAAAGAAAAGTTCTTTGGAGGAATCAAATGGAAGGTTGAAGTGATGTTATAGCCTTGATATGCTATCAATTTAGATCAGAGGAATATTTCTAACTCTGGGGAGAAATGTTTCTTATAACTGAAAAGGGACAGTGAGAGCAAACAATGATTTCTTTGTAATGTTTCTTTCGAAAAGAAAATATACTCGAAATGTTTTCAAGAAGAATTCTTTTCAGGGTTAACTTATTACCGAATAGATAAATGCTACCATTTTCTAGCGTTTTGATATACCGGTGTGTGTGTGTGTGTGTGTGTGTGTGTGTGTGTGTGTGTGTGTGTGTTTGTTTGTTTGTCCAACTGATTATTAAGGTATATGGGATATTAATCTTCCTATGTAAATCTTTAAGAAAATAATATGGCTATATCTCTCTCCTAGGGGTTGGGGGAGTTGAAAAGCCTCTCAGATCGGCCCGCTTCCAAAAATAAATTTCTCATATCTTATGTATGGTCATTAAAATATTGATTTTCGGAAGTGAAACAGCTATACCTAGATTGCGACAATGCCACTTAGACGAACGGAGCTACAGCGAATTAAAGTGAATGAAAAATCTTTAGAAGGAATCGGAAACCCAATTCTACATAGAAAACAAGGGAGGAGTGTGAACCGGACAATAGATAAATATCAAAGTATTAACATTAAATTCATTGTGAATGCTGTAACCTGGGGAAGGTTACTGAATAGGATAATCAACCGAAGTTTGGAAATGAACGATAATACTTGGGACACGAAAAACGCATACACGATTCGCCAGCGGCGCGTAGAATTAGTGCTCAACTGCTATAAGCGAATCAAGTGAATTCCACAATGAATCTCCAACCGCAGGATATCTACCAAACGCCTCACGTGGTCAGATGTAGCACAAGGCCGAATTTAATGTGGGGTATCCAAGCCCGTAGGTTCGGCCAAAATATTCCCCGTAGACACCGTATAAAACGGGGTCAGGTAAGTGTTTTCCGAGAACTGACTCTGCCCTTCGACATAGCCTCTCTACCCGGAGACACAGAGTTTGACCAGCACAGCTAGAGACTTCAGACCAACATACAGTATTTACTACTGTATTTATATGAATGGGGACATTATCATTTCCGTCCGTAGGTATGCTACCACAGTGAATATAGCACGTAGGAAAGAAAAGATAGATATATAGATCATTAACTATGTTTCTATTTATCTATGCAATAAAAGCCATTAATGTAAATAAGCATAGCATTTATATAAATAATACATTTTTGAATGACTGTAACACAAAGCTGAAAATAGATGACATAATAATCAAATACTGAAAAGATAAAAAGAAAATATGCTTTAAAAATATCACGAAATATGAGTTGGGAATACTTAAAAGACGGATTGGCCAGCAAGAAAATATTTTCAGAAGTTGAGGTCGCGAAAAAAAAGTCATGAAAATAATTCAACAACTAATATTAAGTAAACATAACAAAGGAAAATGTAAATGCGGGTTGAACAAAGTGACGGGAGCTGATTTCTTAACTCTCATTTTTAGTGAACAATGATGAGCTACACTTGATGTATCTAATGACAAGATTAAATGTTATGTCGTTCATGGAAATAGTCCAAATGCGACTTAGAAGGCAACTGGTGGGGGGTAGTTTATCGGGCTAGTATTGTAGGCAGAAAATAATCATTATTACATAATTTTTCTAACTTCTTTCACAGAATGCTTTTAGAGATGTCATAGGCCATAGCCATGATTATCTAAGAAAAATGCTCGTACAAGTTCTTCAAAATATGTTATTGTTCAATAGTTTTTAAAGGCAATACATTAATCGAATAACTTACAGCCTCTCCAGATAATAATCCTGTGACATATGACTACAAGTTATATATATAAGAAGGGAAAACAAAATCCAAGTAAAGAAAATCTCTGAAACAT